AGAGGGAAGACTGCCCCACTAAGCCACATCAACACCCCCCCCATCACAGGCAGATCCCCACTGGACACTGCTGGTGAAAATAGCAGCAATGAAAAATGAGAAACACTGCACAGATCCTTTTGGTCTGCAGCTGGAACAAAACAATGACTGCTTTCCATCTCATTCAGTAGGAAGGAGGGAACAGAAATGTGGGTTTATTTCACCAAGTTCTATGCAGCACTTCCAACTGAACATTTTTCAATCAAATGCCTTATGTTCCACATAGTTGTCCTAAACTAGTCCAGGATTAACCTGCTTTTTATCTGTGACACACTCACGCACTGGCCTCAGTAGCCAGCCAGGTGGGTGCCAGTCACAGCTCCTGCAAACACCTGGTCCCATGGGCAGGTCAAAGGGGCGTCACCAACGTGGGGCACATGACATGACCTGAAAGAAATTCACTCCATACGACATGGCACCTCAGTTTAAAAAAAAAATCAGTGTTGTGAGAAGCTCTTAACAGGGACAGTTTAAATGTATTAAAAACTCATACAGGAATGGGTCTCAAATTACATCAAACAGGAGAAAAACATAAATAAGCAGGTCAGAGCCTTGCCCTGTACCTCAAAACCAAGTCCTCAAGCACCACCATATAATAATTTTATCAATTCTCTGGGTAATTAAATGACTTTGTCCATATAATGTACACAGGACATGGAACTCTGTGCTTCAGGGCCCAATCAGTTTGTAGGTAACAAAGCCTTTGAGCTGCTGCTATTTTGCTACAAGGCTCAACATAAGAGCTCCTCACAGAAATCCATCAGCCAGGGAGGTCACCAGCACTCACGTTAACTCCCCTGGCTTTATATTAGGGATTCAAGAGATCCACAGCTCTAACAGCCACTACCAAGTTGCACCAGAACTAGTGATCTCATGCCCCATGCAACCTACAAGCACTAAGCAGAAGATGCTCCACAAGAACATGACTCTCCTGCAGCAAAGCGCTGCCTCCGTGACTGTGCCTCAGTTTCCCTCTGTGATCCAGTTGCTCTGTCTCTGTTTCACTTTCCTTAGCCTGGAGCTGGGGGCTCCCAAGGGAAAGAAGAGGGAAGGCATGACAAACTGCACTGGTAACACCCTTGGAAGCAGAAAGAGAAGGCCGAGTTGACGTCTGGACATTGGCTGCTCTCCCGTGCAGCCCAGGGAGCTCAGCCAGGCCCCAGCCAGGCCAAACGGAGACAATTGGAACAGGTTGATAAAGAATTCGCTCAGTGAGGAAAAGGGCTTTCTTGGTTCTTTCCTCTGGTTCCCTTTGCTCTCCCATAGGGAATTCTGGAGGTATGGCTATGGAGTTACACAACAGCAGTCAGTCTCTTTATTCTACAAAAGCCTGGTGGTCCCATCTTTGGTCAGAGAGACTCCATTTTCACTTGCCTGGGAAGGTGTGATGGATCATCTCCCCTCCTGCAAAGATGCCTGCCCGAGTGGCCACTCCTCAGGAGGCTGAGAGAAACAGATGCCCTGCTGCACCCATAGGAAGGGTAAGAAGTGTCAGGTCCCTCCGTCTACGAATTCCTATTTGTATCTTCATTAGCTGGCTTTAAAAAGCTCAGGAAAGTTGGAACTTTTAAGCTTTGGCACTTGAAGACTTGAGGATCCTTTTAAACGTAAGACAGAAGACTGCAGTCGTCCTGCCGTGCAGCTTTGAGGTAGTATTTCAGTCATTGTTCTAGATCTGTGCACAAGTTACCAGCACTCAGTTAAGTCTTTGTGTGCTAGTTATTGGTTATTTTTGTATTCTGCTGCTAAAATGTCTTATTGCTTTGCTACCCTGATATCCCAACAGTTGGGTAATCCAGTATGTGACATTTAGTATATTTTTACACATCTTTTACTATTTACAGTGAATCTTGGTTTGTGCATGCACATCTGGTCTGCTCTCCTACCCCACACAGGATGGACTCCAGACCTGCCTGCAGCTTCGATTGCCTGCCCAGAGGGAACCAAGAGAGCAGAGTTCTCCTCTGGAGCAGCGAGCTCCTCTGGAGAGCAGCGTCCAGCTGTGCTCCACACCAACCACAGCACAACACTAAGGACAACCTCATTTCCCAGCTGGGCAGGTGCAGAGAAGCCAGGACAGGAGAGTTAAGACTGCTCTTTTTACCACTGCACTGTTTCATATACTTTTCCCCTTCCTTTCTCCTTCAGGGACAGGGGGAGCAGAGTAAATATGAAGGATCTGAGGCCCCCTATCAGCACAGCCAAACACATCTTGATGGGAACTAGCAATCCCTTTTCCCCTGACCCTTGATGAACTCCTTGCCTGTACTGCTCCTATCACAGAATCACAGAATGGTAGGGGTTGGCAGGGACCTCTGAAGATCATCTAGTGCAAACCCCCCTCCAAATGGAACACGTGAGGGACCAGTGAACTGCGTGGCCAGACCTCTGGACCAGGCTGCAGCGCTGCTACTGGAGAAGTGCCCCAGGACTCGCCTGCCATGTGAGCGACACGACCTTGGGCAGCACACTAGGTCCTGCCCCCCCCCGCATCCCTACACCCACGGTGTCTCCAGCTCGGGCCGAGGGGCAGGCCCAGCAGAGCCCCCGGCCCTCCTGAGCCCAGCAGAGCCCCCGGCCCCCCAGGTCCC